GAAATTCATCAAGTGTCCTAGCCTCATCTTTGACCGCCTGCAGATACTTGATCATCGCCGGATGGGTGGCCTCATAGTCACCATTGAATTGGCTAACAATCAATTGAGAATCCGAGCAGGCGTCAACTTTCCTTGCCCCTTCCGCCTTACACATGCGTATACTGGCTAGCAGGGCCTCGTACTCCGCCTCATTATTGGAGGCCTGAAACTTGAACCGTAGTGCGTATTCATATTTCTCCCCTTCCAGAGTTATGCAAATTACGCCTGCACCACAACCGTTCATAGTAGAGCTTTCGTCTACCACTACTACATTTTTAATCTAATACAACGGTTCAAAATGAGCTAATACAAAGGCTAATTTCATTGTTGTATTAGACTAGGCTAATACAACGGATTATACTAAAACAGGTCTAATACAATGGTTTATACAAACCGTTGTATTAGATATACTAATCTGTTGTATTAGATGAGCTAATCCAACGGATTATTCTTCTAATACAACGGATAGTGTTCCTAGAATTATTTTTTTTTTTTTAATTTTTCAGATTGAGCTAATCCAACGGACAGTGGAGCTAACCCAACGGATCAACCCAAAATAAAAAAAGAAAAAAAGAAAAAAATGAATAACACCTAATACAACGGATGGTTAAAAAAAAATAAACAAGGACCTAATCCAACGGTTTTGTCCAAAAATAAATAAAAAAAACCGGGAAATGGTGAAATATTTTAGAGGCAAAAATAAAATTGAAACCCATTAAACTTCTCAGTTGCCCTCGCCATTGCACGCAAAGACTCTTCTCAGTCGCCCCCTCGCCATTGCTGCTCTGCTTCGTTCTCAGTCGCCATTGCAAATAATCTTCTCATAGGTAGGTCATTGTTGCTCGAATTTTCGTATAGCTTGAATTATGAATGGTTTTCGATTTATGAACCCTAATTTTTTTGGGGGGTTTATTTTCGTATACCTTGAACTAATTTTTTTTCTTGTCTTTCAATGGTGGCCAAGAAAGAGGAGAGAGAATTTGGCTATTGCTGCTGCTAAGACTTTCATTGCTCGAACATACACCCTCTCGCAACCTTTCTTCTTATCTCTCTACTAATTCCTCATCTAGTAAATTCCTTCTCTTTCTTTGATTTTTTGCAATTCTTTTAGCTAATTTTGTGATTTAATTTTGTTCAACAGAGAAAAGTTGCAATTTGGATTCTAAAATCTGTAATTTTTCTAGTTTTGTTTGGATAATTTTATGGATGGTAATTTTTTTATGATTTGTTGAGCCGTTTTAAGCCAATTTTATCAAGATGAATTAGATGATTGTATCTGTATTTTTTTTTTTTGGTATTATTGAATTATAATAGACGCTCAATTTTCAGTTAGAGTGATGGTATAAAGATAATTGTTGTACGGTGGTGAATAGTGCATATAACAATGACAATTTTCGTAATTGAAAAGGCTGGTTGATACTGATAGAGTAACATTGAAAATTATGAATTAGTACTTAGGGTGTAAATCATGGCTTGGGTTTGTGAGTCATTGGCATATCCTTCCTATGGCGTTATACTGATTGGAGCACTTTCACATGGAGAAATTTCAAATCAAATCATGTGTATAGTTTGTATATATATATATTTTTTTGGTACAAATAGTTTATTCTGTGATTACATATTTACATGTGGTATTTCAGGTGAATACGAATATAGATATTGAACTAAGATTACATCATTTTGCTTAAATTTTTTTGAAACGAAGAAATATTGACAATGTAATTGCATTTAGTATAGGCTAGCTTGGTGTTCATCTTGTGTTTTGGTAATTTTCCTGCATTATATGTTAGTTGTTTGACAATAACACTTCCTTATCTAGAAGGAGTGTATTTAGTGCTTGGTATAGAGTAGTTCATTGATCACCTTTGTGTTGCACCTCCATGAGAACACCTCCATGAAAAATAATGAGAGTTGTATAGGTTATGTGACTTTATCCTTTGGCACCTATTTACACTGTTAATTTCTATTTTTACCCTAAGGAATGGAAGGTGGAACTAATAATTGGTGGATGTTTGCCAAATGGAGCGATGAATATGAACAAGGAGTCGACGAATATGTCAAAAGGGCCTTTTCTATTAAGTCTCAAGGAAATCAAATTTGTTGTCCATGTCAAACTTGTCATTATCGTTTTTGGCAGTGTGAAGGTGTGGTAAGAGACCATTTAATTTGTAATGGTTTTGTTCCAAGATCGGATAAGTTATCAGATTTAGGGTTCAATATCCAAAGAGAAGAAATTATTTGGGATAATGATGAAGGGTCCATCCCAAATGAATCTAGCGATGACGTAGTGAGGTTGTTGCATGATGCACGTGATGCTTTTAGAGTGGGGCCAAATGATGAGGCAAAAAAGTTTTTGAGGTTAGTTGAAGGTGGGCAAGAAGAATTGTATCCTGGTTCCAAAAATCACTCAAAACTTTCCTTCATGATTCGACTTTTTATTTTGAAGTGTGATCATAATCTAACCAATGCCGTATTTGGAGATATATTGGAGCTTATAAGGGAGGTGTTTCCTGATGCAAAGTTGCCAACTTCTTTCAATGAAGCGAAAAGTGTTTTGAAAGTGTTGGGGTTAGATTATACAAATATTGATGCATGTCCAAACGATTGCATGATATATTGGGAAGAGCATGAAAATGCAACAAGCTCCCATGTTTGTAAAACACCAAGATGGAAATCAAAGGACAAAGAGGATGACATAGAAAATGGTAAGGGAAAGACCTATAGAATTCCTCAAAATATTCTTAGGTACTTTTCGATAAAGAAAAGGCTTCAACGACTATTTATGTGTCAAGAGACGGCGAGATACATGACTTGGCATGCGGATGGGCGTGAAACTGATCATCTTTTACATCATCCAGCTGACGGTCAAGCTTGGAGGGAATTTGATTCCTTGTACAAAGAGTTTTCTGATGACCCGCGCAATGTGAGGCTAGGACTAGCCACAGATGGCTTCAGCCCGTTCAACTCAATGAGTATTGTACATAGTACTTGGCTAGTTATGTTGATCAATTACAACTTGCCTCCTTGGATGATTATGAAGCCTGAGTATTTGATGTTAGCACTACTAATTCTGGGTCCTTCCCCAAGCAATGACCTTGACATATATTTGCAACCACTAATGAAGGACTTGAAGGATTTGTGGGAGTTCGGACTGGAAACTTATGATGCTTCGAGTAACCAGAGGTTTCACATGCATGTAACATTGATGACTACCGTGAGTGATTTTCCTGCTTACGCGATGTTATCTGGCTGGAGCACAAAAGGATACTTGGCGTGCCTTGAGTGTCATTATGAATTAGATTCTGAGTGGTTGCCTTATAGTGCTAAGAATGTGTATAGGGAAAATCGTAAATTTCTACCTCCATTTCACCCTTGGCAAAGAATTTGTATAGGGAAAATCGTAAATTTCTACCTCCATTTCAACCAAGAGAATTGGAAGATGGTGGCAAAGAATTTCCAAGATCCCGCTTTTGGATGTCATTGGAGCAAAAACGTAAGTTTTGCCACGTCTTCAAAAATGCCAAACTTCCTCAAGGCTATGCTTCTAACATTGGTCGATGTGTACAAGTTGGGGAAAGGAAAATTGCAGGCTACAAAAGCCACGATGCACATTTTATGATGAATTATTTGCTCCCAATTGCAGTAAAGACAACATTATCCAAAGATGTTTCTACCCCTTTGATTAAACTTTGTGCTTTTTTTAAAAGTATATGGAGTAAAAAGGTTGATCCTCAAAATCTTGAAAAATTGCAATCTGAGTTAGTTGAAACATTATGCCTACTTGAGAGGATTTTTCCACCTGCCTTTTTTTATATAATGGTACATCTACCTCTACACTTGGTGGGCCAAATTAAATTGGGTGGACCTGTAAGTTCAAGGTGTATGTATGGGATTGAGAGGTATCTTCATGGACTAAAGCAAGATGTTCGAAATAAAGCTCGTCCAGAAGGCTCAATGGCAGAAGGATATCTAGCCAAAGAATGTGTTGCCTTTGTAGCTAGATTTTTGAATGGATCAAACTCAGCCACACCTCAAGTTAATGATTGTAGTACATCACAATCATTTCTTCCTAAGGTAGGACGTCCAGTAAAAGGGAAAGGATGGACATCAAAGAAAAAAGACCGTGAACACATACTTGATCACAATCAATGGGTGCAAGCGCATCGTTATGTCTTGTTCAATTGTGACTGTGAGGAAGTTGAGAAATATATAAGGTTAGATTACCGACCAAAACGTAGTTTTTTTTTCTTTTTCTCTTGGTTTTCAATATGTTTTAATTGTAGTGTTAATAAAGTAATCTTTTTATATTTAATAGTGAGCACAAGGAATTTGTAAGCGCTAGAAGAAAAAGAAAATGGAATAGCGTTCAAGATCAAAGCAAGGATTTTGTGGATTGGTTTAGGAAGAAAGTTGATTTCATTCTTGAAGAGGGTCAAGACATCATCCCTAATAATATCATATGGTTATCAAAAGGGCCTTCTTACATTGCTAAAAAGTATACAGGGTACTCAGTCAATGGTTATAGGTTCCATACCATGAAGCGCGATGCTAATTGTGTAACTCAAAATAGTGGAGTCACTCTAACGGCCATGACACATAGCTTTGCGAGTTCCAAAGATCAAAATCATGTTGAGGCTAATGTCAATTATTATGGTTCAATAACAGACATCATTTCAGTATCTTACCATGGCTATTTCTGTGTCGTCTTATTTAAGTGTGTGTGGTTTCACTCTAAAAAAGACGATGATGAGCTTGTAACGATTAATATGTCTAAGACAATTTCTAAAGAAGAACCATTTATCTTGGCATCTCAAGCACATCAAGTGTTTTATGTTGAAGATCTTAATAGAGATGGTTGGCATTATGCTGTTCAAATCCCTTCTAAAGAGCTTTCTGATGGTTTTTTCCCTAACAATTTATATTACATTATTTTGCACTGCTTTCCATATTATATTATATTATATTGCATTGTTTTTCATATTATTATCTTTTATGGTTTGTAAACATGTTCTCATTGAATGGCTTTGCAGATGAAGGGGAGTAAAGCAAAAGCTTCTAATTCCCAAAGTCAGCTTCCAGACTATGAGTTACAAAGGCTCAGAAAATTGAAGCATAATGCTGAAAGAATGTCAGCCCAAGGATCGGGATCCTTGGCGAATAAGATACTGCAACAAAAAAACACGCGACATACTTTGTTTGAGTGTGAGGCAGACAGATGATGGCTCCTCATGAGACTCTGATACGGAACAGGAAACTCTTGGTAGTGAAAAAAGACAAGTATGTGAAAAGGTATCTTTAATAACTTGAATTTGCTTTAACGACATATACATTCCTGCCTTTGCTCTTCCAGACTCTTGGTATAAGTTGTGTAGGAATTATCTTAATTTTCTGGTCATTCTCCTCTATAAATTTAGATCCTGAAGTCTGCACTAGTCTCAACTATCAAGAAAATTGTATTAGGTTTACTAAGCATGAGCGTACATGAATCATTTTGGTTTATCTTATTAGTCAAGATTACATAGCCTCCTTCCAGCTATTACGTGTTGTTGTTCTGTTAATGAGCTTAGACTCGTTTGTCAGCAGTGCTAGCTTCCACGGTGCTCCTGAGGTTTATCATACCTGAAGTGTGATGACTGGCAGTGGCTTGAGCTAGTGGATCCAGGATGCGGAAGTGGTTGTGATGGGTTTGAGACTTACCTGCTTAGATGTAAAGGGTTACTTGACTCAGCTGGGTTGATTATGTGTGAATTTTACCTTTCCAAAAAATAAAATGCTGCCAATCTGGTTTAGTGATCACTAGCTCACAGACTTAGCTACTAGAAATATGATGATCAGTCTTGTTGCTTGTTAAGACTGTTTTCTGATCTTAATGTTTTTACTGCTGTTCTCATACATTTTTAAGCTAATGATTGGAATTTATATCTTTTAGCTTCATAATCGCTCTTTTTCTTTCTTTCTTTGGTTTAATGTATTGTGGGTTGATTTGATGATACACGGTGTCTCTTGGGTTTTTTGACGACATATACATTCCTGCCTTTGCTCTGCCAGACCCGTCACATAGTAACTTGTTTCGCTTTTGTTTTATAGGTCTCTTCTCAACAACATCCAGTTCCTACACGGGAAATTCAAAGGAAGCAGCAAGAACAACAATTGGGGTCAACAAAGGCATTTGTGAAGAAAAGAGCGTTCTGTTCTCCTGGCTCAATGTCAGCCTACCTCGAGTTTCGGAAACGACAAAAGGATGAAGCGCTGATGATGAGCAGTGAGGTGCATGAAAAAGGGCAAAATTATGATGATGAGCAGCTGAATGAGACCGATTGTGCTCTTCAGTTCGATTGTGAGGGCAATGAAGCAGCGGAACGAGCATTTATGGCACAGTTTGGAATGGAAGGTATATTCTGATCATTAATTATGAGAGTTTTCAAATTAAACGTTTGTTAATTAATTAGCTATTGAACTTTCATTTATAATTAGTTAGTATTGACACTTCGTTTACTTTTGTAATGCAACGAATATATATTATATGTACTTCGTTTATTTTGTAATGCAACGAAGATATATTATATGTACTTTGTTTATTTAAATTATAAATATACTAATATAATTTATATTTATTATTATAGATTTTTTTTAAAAAAAATTACCTAATACAATGGTTTTAAAAAAACAAAAAGAAAAAAAAGGGGTCTAATACAACGGTTTTTTTTTTTAAAAAAGGGGGGGGGGCTAATACAACGGTATTAAAAAAAAAAGGCTAATACAACGGATGTATAAAAAAATAATAATAAAGGACCTAATCCAACATATTGGGCGAAAAATCCGTTGGATTAGGTCCAATTATTCCCAAAAAAACAAAAGGGAACCTAATGCAACGGATTGAAGAAACCATTGGATTAGGTATCTACCTAATACAACGGATTGCTCAATCCGTTGGATTAGGTCTATTTTGCCGTTGTATTAGACCTAATCCAACCCTTGCAAATGTGACGGTTGGTAACCGTTGTATTAGGTCTAATACAACGGTTTTTGACACCTAATACAACAAAAAAAGCCGTTGTATTAGCTCTAAATGTAGTAGTGTACATATAACTTCCAAACCTGATCAACATTTTCCGGCTATGCCGGTCTTGTCATTTCAATAATAAAGTCGGAGAACACCTGACCCTTCACTGCCTTTCTAGGCTCGAAAGAAATTTCCAGACTTTGTAGTTCAATAGCTCACTTGAGCATTCTGCTGGATGACTCCAGGGTTGTCATTGGCCGCTTGAGGGGTTGGTCTGTGTAGACCACCACCGGGTGTGCCAAGAAATATGGTTTTAGCTTCTTGACTGCCATGAAAGAGCAAGGCCGAATTTTTCAACCAAGGGGTATCTCAACTCAGCATTTCGGAATACATGGCTAATGAAATAGACCGGGAGCTGGATTTCGTCTCTGTTACCTAGGAGAACGGCACTGAGGGCATGATCTGAGACGGCCAAGTACATGTAGAGAACCTCCCCTGCTATAGGGCTGACCAGCCGTGGCAAAGGGTGGAGGTGCTCCTTCAATTTCTGGAATGTCGCCTCAGCATTCTTCCCCCATTCAAATCTAGTCTTCTTCTTAATTGCCTGGAAGAAGTAAAGGCACTTGTCACCTGACCGGCTGAGGAATCTCCCCAATGCCGCCAGAAAACCGGTGAGTCTCTGGATCTCTCTGACAGTGCCGGGTGACTTCATGTCAATTACCGCTTGCACTTTGCCCGGATTGGCCTCTATCCCCCTTTGATCAATCAAGAATCCGAGAAACTTCCCAGACTCAACACCAAAGACGCACTTTTTGGGATTAAGCATGACATTATGCCGCCTGAGGGTGGTGAAGGTTTCTCGGAGGTCAGCAAGGTGATCCATCTGAAGCTTGGATTTGACTATCATGTCATCAATGTACGCCTCTACATTCCTCCCAATTTGATTAATGAAGATCGTGTTAATCATCCGTTGGAAGGTAGCAAGCGCATTCTTCAGCCCAAACGGCATCACCGTATAACGAATGTCGTCTTCTCTTGATCTTTTTTCCACAAGGGTATCCGATGGAAGCCTGAGTAGGCGTCCATGAAGCTCATCAAAGCATGGCCGGCTGTAGAGTCAACTAGACTGTCGCTCTTTGGAAGTGGATAGCTATCCTTCGAACATGCCTTGTTCAGATCTGTGTAATCAACACACATCCGCCAGGTTCCATTCGGCTTTTTGACAAGGACGACATTGGCTACCCAATCCGGATAGTAGCATTGTCGAATGAACCCGGCATCCAGTAGCATTGCCGAATAAACCCGGCATCCAGTAGCTTCTTGACCTCGGCGGCTGCCGCCTGAGTTCTCTCCTCGCCGTGGTTCCTTTTCTTTTGCCTAACCGGCTTCTTTTTTGGATCCACGGCAAGTTTGTGGACAGTAAGATCCGGGCTGACGCCTGGCATCTCTTCCACTTCAAAGTCAAAAATGTATTTGAATTCATTCAACAGTTGGTGCAAATCTGCACCCAACTTTGCAAAAGCAACCATCCCCACTTTTACGGTTCTTTCCGGACGGCTGTCGTCTAGAATAATGTCCATAGTATCACCAGCTGGTTGGGGACGGAGATCCTCTTATTGTTCCCCGATCAGTGATTGCTATTGCTTCTCTTTTTTGGCGGCCACTAGATGGTCCGCCTTTTTCTTTTTGCCGGCTGCCTTGGGGGCAGGCGCGGCTTCATTGTCATCAAGGTTCATGGGCTCCTCGTTATGGCCGGCTGGAATAGCAGTCGGCCTAACGTCTGAGAGGTAGCACTCGCTAGCCGTCTTCTGGTCCCCGCTCAGGGCACCGACTGACCCGTCATCCCTCTCAAACTTAATCAACATGAGGGATGGGATGATGACTGACTTGGACTCGTTGAGGGTAGGACGGCCCAAAATGAGATTGTAGGCGGTCAATTCCTCGACCACCAAAAACTTGACGACCATGTGTTGTCCTTCCCCCTTCTCTCCTAGCCGGATGGGTAGGTCAATTCTCCCCACCGAATGCACTACTCCTCCCCCAAAGCCGACTAGGGGGTGAGAAGCTTTGTGCATACTGCTAGGCTTATACTTGAGCTTGGCCAAGCACTGATAGTTGATCAGGTCAGACGAGCTCCCGGTATCAATGAGGATCCGGCCCACTCGTTGGTTGGCAACTTTGCATTCGATGACAATTGGGTCATCATGGGTCCGCATGACCATACCCCGATCCTTCTCAGAGATGAAGACCTCAGGAAAGGTGTCTTTCGACGCCTAGCCCTTATCCTCTGGGTTGGATAGTTTCCAGATGTTATCCTAGGTACCCCGGATGGTAGGACCTCCGCTTGAGAAGCCGCCTGCTATAGTGAAGATGTGCTTTTCATCAGTATCAGAACTCACAGCCGACTTCTTTGACGGTTGTCCATTGTTGGGTTTGGGGTTACCCTTGGACTTCACCAAGTAGGACTTCAGAGCCCCCTCATTAGCCAGACGGTCCAGTAGCCGCCTGAGGCTGTATCAACCATTAGTGTCATGGCCAACGTCCTCATGGAAGTGACAGTACTTGCTCTTGTCACGGTTCTTGATAGAACTCTTCATAGCAGCCGTTTTTTTCAAGAGTTAACCGGTCTTTGATCTCCATGAGGATGGAGGAGCAGTCCTTGTTGAACTCGTACTTGGGGACGTACGGTTCCAACTTTCTCTGTTTCTTCTGGGACGGCTGACCAGAGCGATCCGCCGCCCAGACTTCTTTTCTTTTCTTGCCCTCTTCTTTTTTGGCCAGTTGTCTTTCTTGTCAGACCTCCTTGGCTCCGATGAGTGCTTGATGGCACAGAGTTTCGTCGCCTGTACATAAGCTTCGGCTTCCATCAAAGCCTCTTGGAGGGTAGCCACCCTCTTGCAGACTAGGTCGAACTAGAAGGTCGACCCATCCTTCAGACCCTTGAAGAAATCTGTGTATGCAACTTCATCAGAAAACCGTTGAATCTGAATTCTCATCAGATTGAATCGCCTGACATAGGACCGTAGTCCCTCTTTGTCTCCCTGCTGAATAGCCACTAGGTCGAGACTTGTCTTTTTGGCAGGGATGTTCATGGAGAAGTTGGACGCAAACAGGTATGCAAGCGTCTTGAAGTTATTGATGCATCCGGCTGGCAGGTTGCCAAACCATCGTTGGGATATGCCTTTTAATGTAGCCGGGAAGCATCGGCACCAGGCGGCGTCATCCAACCCCTGTAGGTACATGAGGTTGGTGTATGCCATTAGGTGGTCTTCCAGGTTGGTGGTACCGTCGTAGGTACCAACCAACACATTTTTAACCTTGGCCGGCTATGCCGCCTCGGTTATCTCCCGGGAGAAAGCCGAAGGCTGTTCCCTAACGTTAAGCAGTCGGAGCTGCCAGTCCATAGGCTAGACCTAATGTGATGCCTGATCCCCAAAGGGGGATGGCTGCATGTATGGTGATCCATACGGCATGTATGGTTGTTGGGGCACATACGGAACCGACTGGATGATATGAGGGCCAGTACATGCAGACATGCTGCGTGACTGACTCCCTTGAAGTGTCTCCAAATGCTTCATTGAAGTATTGCGGAAACTGTTTGGGTAAGTCGACGTTGAGGCCGACTCAGACATTTGCCAACTTCTGTTCTCCTGGAAGAACATCCGGGCGTCAGAGTAAGTCTTTTTGGACCCATCCGGTTGTACTTGCCGGATGACCTTCCTTTGCCCTGATTCAGAGAAACGAAGTTTGGAGAGGTCGATCAGGGGCCCATTTGTCCCCTTGGGTTTGGGGAGTAGGCACCCGGTCTTTAATCTGCTTCTTCCCGGAGTGAGAAGGCTTCTTTGCCGACTGACCCTTGCTTGAGCCAGTTGACTTCTTCATTATGTCTTTTATTTCCCCCTTGAAACTCGTCATGAATTTCATGAGCTCGTCTCTGGTGACGGGGGTTGTGGGGTTGCCCAGCGTGCTTGCCGCCTGGGTTGCTGGGACTAGTTTTGTCTTGGCCCCGTTCCTTCTTCTCTTTGGAACGAGTGCGTCTTGTTCGAAATGACCCGTCTGGGGCCACATAGGTGTCGACCTCATAGTCTTCACCACTGTCATGGTCCGTATGGACCTCAAGTTCAGCCGTAGGTCGGCTGCCCTCTACAGGAGGTACAGTGTCAGATGCCATCTCAGAATTACTCTCCCCACAGACGGCGCCAAATGTTTCGGGGTTATTTTAGTCCCTCGGGAGAGTTACAATTCTGGGATGCGCGCCTGACGTCTGTACCTGCAAAACCACGAAACTCCGATTGGGTGGAGTTTCGCCTCCGACGGTCAAGTTAGTATGATTCCGGATGGGTAAAAGTGCGGAAAATAAATGGGTTTTTCTCCCTGATTCAGAGAGATTCCGCAATTAATATTGCTCGGTTTTTTGTGTATGTATTTATGAATGTATAATAAATGAGGAATTTCCTCTATTTATAGCAGATGAAGATCTGCTCCCCTATTAGGGTTACAATGTCACGTGTTAGCATCCGATTAGATCTCAATGGGCCTTTGAAGGGCTGCCATGTGTCAGCACGGTATT